CAATTGTCCCAGTTGGGAGAGCTGGGCATAGGTGAGCCCAATCTCCTGCTCATCGGTCTGATACGTTGTAGCACCGTTTAGGGGTCGCAGTTCAGCGCTGGGCGGAGCGGCGAGGATGTCCAATAGGGTCTTCTGCAGCAGATCCCTACGGGAGGCTTCTCCCTCCTTTAGGTCCTCTGTGGTCTCATTTTCGATCAGCAGGTGAGTGGCGGCAAATTTAATGAACCGCCGAAGATCATGTTTGCTTATACTGCCGATTGGATTTATGTCAGCGCTGGAACAGTCGTACCTGAGGCAGAGTGGGAAAAAGTAAACGTGAAGGCTTCAGGCCGTTGGTGTTTCAATTCGCGAGAGCGCAGCCAAGTGGAAGCCTTCGGGTGAACAGACTACACACATACTTAAGCAAGTGCCGAAACTTATGAAAGATTAGATGGAAGGTAGAGGACTCATTTAGTAAACCCAAAGTGCGTAAAAACGGGGAACGCTGCGGGGTCCATTGATCAGCCTACCCTTCATGCAGAGGTAGAATATTGGCGAACATGCACCTGAGCTTGTAGCTACTGCTTCTGTTCTATGCATGCTAAAGCACGCTACAAACACAAACACGACAGTTCGACCGTCGATGCCGAAGAGGTCCACCGTATGCTCCACAGCGGGGTGGTGCAGAGACGGTGACATGCGCATGGAATAGTTTTAAGTGATAATGGACTTGCATTTCACCTTCTACACTATCGCTTCTCTTCATCACCCGAGCTCAGTATCCTGATAGAGTGAAAAAGACAGGGGCTGGGTCGACGTATGTGACACGCACAGGGTGTTATAACTTGCTGTGCCCTGATCGGACAGAGACGAAAGTTCAACCGTCTATTTAGACGATGTTCACCGTGTGCTCCACATCGTGGTGGTGCAGGGACGGTGATTTGCGAGTAGATTAGTTATAAGTGACAGTAGACTTACGCTGAACCGTGCTAAATTTTCCCTCCTCTACCCATGCTTGGTGTCAGAATTACCGGAGGTGGAACCGGACACACGCGGGTGGCGCAGCCGGAGCCGGCCAAACTGACTCGGATCCAACGGAGTGGTGATGTAAAAAAGGTAGAAAGTGATTGGCACCTAAGTTTGCCTCCGAGTGTGCCACCAAAGCTCCCAGGTTCGGAAATTGTTATGGGAGCACAATCGGAATAACACCTGGCATGTTCCAAAGTGGCACCATGTTGGTCAAGCGCACCTATTACGCGGCTCGTTTAGGGAGCAGTGACAAAAACACACACACGACAGTTCCACCATGGTTTTCGACGAGGTCTACCATGTACTCCACAGCAAGGTGGAATAAGGACGATTAAATGCGCATGAATTAGATTATAGTGTTGGTAGACTTGCACTGCATCAACCACACTCTCTCCTCCGTCCCCACCTGAGTCCGGCGTCATGACCAAGTAAAAAAGACGGGAGGTGGAAGGGAGCGCATGTGGGTTGCATGCCGTGAGTCTGCCGCCAACACCCCACATGTGCGATATTTACTATGGAGACACATCCAGAATAACAGCTTCCGTGCCCTGAATTAGCCGTCATGCCGCACCAGAGCATCCACCACGAGGGCTGTTTAGGAGGCCAGGCATATTCAATTCCAGGTCTGAGCTTGACTGTTTGAAAAAGCCTTATAAGCCAGAAGTGGCCACCTAACCAGTCTCCCTTACTCTTTTCAATACTCCTTTCTTTGCAAGTCTATAGAAAAAGTTAACAATAGGTCAAGTTCTTTAGGAGCGAAGGCAACCGCTTATTACGCGACTTTCCCGAATGGGCCACCCCTCCCGTCATTTTGACAGCATACAAAACAAGGTCATTTTAATCAGACCTAAGAAGCTTTCAACAATAGGCCGAAGTTCACTGCAATGCGATAGCCGAGCCACAGACTTTAACAAACAGCGGTGGCTTCAGACCTACTTAGTGTTATCTTCAGCCAGCCCTGCCGAGACT